TAATAAAAAAAAAACGGATTTGAACCAACCAAAAAGTACTTGAAGTAAAATTTCGTTATTCTGAAACACATATGATGGTTTGTTTGCCTATAGAGCGTCATCATTCGGCCAAACAAAGAAAGGTGGACACTCCTTGGGATACGACTTAAAATCGTTTGAAACAACAAAAGTGCATCCATTCTAGTTATCTGAATATCATTTCATTTTTTCAGTCACACTCATGTTAGCCTATTTTAACATCACAACATTTTTGTTCTTATATTTTATGTAGTTTATGTAGTTTTGAAAGTCTCGTATTCCAGTGAATCGGCAATTAACAGGCACATTGAAATGGATAAGATTTATCAATCCATGAGAGGAAAATCACATTCACCAAAAGTCACAATTCAGGTTAGGGAAACAATCAATACCAATACAAATAGATTAGACAGACAAGAGCAACCAGTCACATTCAAGGTCAGCAGGAGAGATGACTAATAAACTCCTGCAGAAATCTAAAAGCTTAATTCAAATTGAAGTATGGTATGAGGTGAAGATGTTGCCTAGTAGAACAATGAAAGCTTCGCGAGTAAACCATGCAGGTTAGAGAAAACAGCTATGTCACAATCATCTGCTTGAGCTACAAATCTCCTCCATTGCAGTTTTATAAAGTGTCACAAACTCGAACTGATATGCATCTGTGCAAAGTTTTACGTTTATCTGTCTATCAGTCCGACATTTGGAATAGCGTCACTGTATGAAAATGTACAAGACTGAGCCTATTAGGTATTATTTTATCTTCTAGCATGTAAATGGTTATGAAATTATGGAGAAGATTTGTAACTCAGGTGCTTAATTTCGAATGCTGTAAGTAAAACTAAATTTTATCGAACGTGCAATATAAAATTTGTCATATTCATAGTAGCACCACGCAGCCACTTTTAATCACAGTCTAGTAAAAAGATAAACAGTAAACCAGCTGAGTGCAATGCTTTATACTTTATTATTCAATTTAGAGTTAGAAGTAGTGAAAATCAATCTAGTTTTTGTGTTTATCTGCCTATTTTCTTCCAGCTTACTCGTATGTTGTTTTGTTCTATTAAACTTAAAGTATTGATCATTCACTGTATGTATCTGTCTATTTCTATTGTTGAGCAGAACAAAAATTAAAGCATTGGAATTAGTCTACAAGTTTGCAGGTAATACTAATTAAGAGAATTAGTAGTTACCAAATATTGAACCAATTCATTTTGATTACTATCATAATACTGTGATGCAGTATGAGTAAAAAATCTTGAAAAAAACACTGCTTTGAGTGAAACGTATTGTGATGGTGTGATACAGACAATTGGTTCCAACGTAATATTATTCTCACAGTAAGAATCATTGTATATGTTGGTGTTAACGTCTGAATACCATTCCTACAGTTCAGTAGTGCATTGGCAACAGAATACTGTGTGTATTTGAAAATTCTATTCCATGTCGTTTAATGTAAACCAAAATCACAAGCTCAGTGATTGTTTAAAGAATATAGAACTGTATAGATATAAGTAGCTGTTTGATCACTTGAAAATATACCTTAGCTTCCGTGTCTTGCCTTTTGCTGTTAGAGTGCGATATTTTGGACTCATCTTGGTGACGCACTTTAGTAAAACTAAGCAAAATGTTCGATCAGAACTGTCTGCATACAGGCAAATTACCCTTCTTCCTATTCGATATATGATGCCTAAATCAATGACCAGTTTTACGAACTGTTAAGCTGCTGAATAAAATTTAGCAACTTCTCAAAGGATCTTCAGCTCAAAACACGCATGCTTTCCATAAGACCCTATCAGAAACCTTAATAAAACAGCAATTATGTGGAGTCTCTCCTAAAAATCCTAGACAAAATACAACCTACATCCAAGAAATTACCGGATTCCAAATGACGTTGAAGCATTCCCATTTAGATTTAAATTTCACATTCCAGGAAAGTCTGCCAACAGAACTTATGCCGAAGTACAGTTTGAGAATTTAGTCGATCAGCTGACAGATCTAAAACCAATAAGTGAAGCACTTTTCTGTTAAATATTTATCAGAGGTCGTGTAATTTTATATTTTATTATGTTTTGTCAAATACTGACGTCAGAGACGTGACTGGACAAGGATTTTGAAGACAGGATTTTTCCTGTTAACTATACTTTTGATATTTTAGTCTCGACTGTTTCCCAGAAGAATTTCGAATCTGTTTAAAGAACGGAGCCTTTAAATTAATTATTTAAACTTCACTTGGATTTTCAAAAAGATATTTTTCTAAACGTTTGCTTTTCACTTTTTCCCCAACGTTCGCGGAACTGTCCGGTGAAATGGTCGCAGATCATATAAATTAAAGCATTATTGTATATTTTTATACAACTTTTATTATTGAAGTTGTAATCAGCTGACAGGAACGTGATAACATAAAAAAGGTGCTTTTTTATCAGGCTCCACGTTTTATTATTGGTTTGTTCAAATTCATTGTGGGAAATTTTGTATGGAATTTTGTAGAACAGGTTCTATATTTGGCCACTGTAATCTTAGATAATAAATAATGTTCACGCATATCAACTGACTGTCTTTGAACTTAAATACATCATAGATGCGATCAGTGAATGAAATATACTTTAGAAACACTTAACTTTTTAAGTATTCACCTACCATTCTAAGACTGTTTGAGTCCAATGAACTGGTTCAGGAATATGAGTAATCCTTTTCACATGTGCAGTGTTGAATCAATAAACAAAGCTTCAGTGATTAACTTCTCTCTCCACCTAACTATATGACTTTCACCCTGACCCATTTTTTTTAATGATTAAGTGCAAGGGAATAGACCTCAGTGGCTGAGTTTTTCTGTGCTTAACTTAACTTAGCAGTTAGACCCTGCTAAGTTGAATAAGCTAAAAAGCTTATATATTACAACGCATTCACTAGCATGTATTCACACAAAACTTTAGGATTGGATAAAAGTAATAAAAAGTCATATAGTTAGCTGGAAAGGGAAGTTAATCACTGAAGCTTCGTTTATTGATTCAACACCGAACATTTGAAATGTTAATTACACAGCGTCTATAACATATATATATATATAATTACAGCGAGTAGCAAGGGGAAAAGAATAAAAAATGTACTGCAAATCATGAAACCGTGTGAATACGCTGATACAACTGTGAGCATTTAAATGTGCTCAAAACGTAATCTTTTGAATAACAATGTATCACTGTGTCATATCAAATAAATATTATTTGGTATGGAATTATATTCTACCACAGTGCCCATATTCCACACTTACATTAGGTTAACTCCCACTCCCTCAAATGTAAGTTCAGTTTCCCTTGTTGATGGCAGCCAGTCGCTTAACATCAATTCAGAGAACACAATAGTGGTGAGTCATTTAGTTTGGTGGTTATATCGTAAATGGTGGTCAGTAGAACTAGGTCAGTTATGAGGACAAAGCAACATCATGCTGATAATGTTTCTGCGAAGAATTGGTGTATGTAGATCAGTTCTATAATAGCTCTATTGCAGCACAAGTAGATCAGTCGTAAATTTTCTATGAATGGCTCTTGATAATATGGATTGAAATGTCCAGAGTAACTTCTCTCGGAGTTGCCAATAAATGTTGCCCAGAGAGAGATAATAAGCACAAATCATGAGTCCATAGCTCTCTGTTTTTTTTACTTTAATTGAATAACACAGAACTTCATCCTTTTAGTCGTTACTGTGATCACTTTAAGCACTTATAAATGAGGGCAACATACAACTAATTTAACTTAATTGCACGAAATTCCTGTCTACTGAGCCACTTGTATAAACAGGTTCACACTAGGTACGTCATGTTCTAAGGTAAATAAAACAATTGAGCGCAAAAGTCTACTCTTGATTAAAGTGTAGCAACCTGCCCACTTCCTGTGAGTCTAATAATACTTGTTCAGCCGACAGTGAGCATTAATGAACAAGCGAGATACAGTATTTTAGTTACCGACTCAATAAACACTGGATAGCAATGTTTACCAAGTAAGGTTTTTGAAATGACTAGCAATTACTTTGAGGTTTAAACTAATTTAATACAAATATGGTAGATATAAATGAAAACGTTTATTACTAGACTTATTAGCAAACAAGTCACACTGTTTTTGTGACCGACCTTAAATCACCAGACATTTTGTTTTTTTCTGTGCATCAGTCAAATGCATTAATGTCAGTAGTAGTATTTTCATATAAAGGAATTACTTTTAATGTTTTGGCTTTATATCTTTGTAAGGCACGTACATTCTCACAGTGAACAGAGTAGCCACAACATTCTTAATCCTTAACAGCCAGTACCAAACACTAAAAGTTATGATTCATAGTTCCCAATAAACTTCAGTCGTAGTTTTAAATGACAGTTAGTTACATTGCTAAATAACTTCCTAAAGCATTCAGAATAAGTGCATTTACTGAAGAAATTAAGAAGCTAAAGTATAATTCTAACTTAACTGGAACAAATTTATGAAGTGGTTAACTTTCGTACAGTTCTAATAAACAAAACCTCAAATCAACTGGATCAGTTTGTGCCTTGTTCCGACTTGTTCTGTTTGACCAATCAGTTAGTAAAATACTTAAGTGAATAAAATATCTTTTAAGCGAAAGTTACAAGACAACATGCATATAAGTATTGCAAAATAACTAGAAAGTCAAACTCATATAATAACGACTTAGTAATACAAGAACTTGAATAGCAGCTTATATTTGTCAGCTATATGGATGTTTATAATACTGTAGATTTGACCTGTACACATTACATAACCATATATGTAAATGGTTAAGAGTAAATGTTTAATCTTTTAGTAAATCAGTGACTATCACATAAAACTATAATTCTTTTGTTAACTATTTTTGATGGATGCAAAAAGCCGGGGAGGTTGGGATACTATTTATTATAGATAACCTAATATAGTCAAATCTGTTTACTTCTAACATGCATATAGACAGATTAATACATTCTACTGTTATTTATGACTTACCATCAATCATATATACTCGATTACCACGAGTTATCAGGGCACAAATGAAATGCATTTCGGCGCGAAGTTTTTTATCTCTTGTTGATGAATTAGACGAAAAGTTACCACGTTGATTGTAAACAACAATGGCTGGTTTAACAAGGGAGATCTGAGAAATAAATGAGACTGGAGAATCGTTATGTGGTGCAGGACATCCATGTGTTTCAGAATACCATACATCCCATGATTGTATGGCTCGTTTAGCCATAGTTTTTGTATAGCAGTTCGCTGAACGAGCAGTGAATATATGACCTGACTGATAAAGTCTCGTTTCTCTCAAATCAACTATTATTAATTGGGAACCAGTTTCTAATTCTCTAGCATTACGCAGTCTGGTCAATATAATTTCTGCTTGCACCATGTTGCAGGTGTTTACGTTCTCAGCATCAGCATTGTTCATTGAGTTGTCAGGCCTATTTACTATGATAACTTTTGGATTTGACATTTGACAAGATGTAGACACTACAATATATTAAGTTATTTGAGGTATTTACAGGTTCATAAATGAACATAATCCTTTTGTTTGATCTGAATCATACAAATACACCGGAAAATGTTTGTATTTTTATAAAATAAGTCATTTTAGAGCACCATTGTTGTGATGAAATTAATTTTCATTTGTGCCAGCATGTTCTTTTTGGTTCTTAAAAACTGTTGGTTACCTGAATCACGATTGAATATTTCATTGTTTTCTAATTGGCTTAAAATTGGTAACTAAATATAGAGACACGGAGTTAAACTTATATATATAAAAATAGTAAGGAGAAAAGAATAATTAATAAAGGTAAAAATTTTCACCTTTTATCAGATTTGTCAATTTCACGTTTTGAGTTAATTCAATAGGCCTGATATTAAAACCGCTTAAAAAGGTGTGAAACGTTTTGAATCAGTCACTTAAAAAAATGGTCTACTGTAGTAGAGTATTTCCTACCAGGTTACACCGACTCGGTTGATAACTGTAAGACTTCTGGGTACTGTTGTTTAACTTGTTATGAAGATCATGAGAAATACTTGGAAAACCTTTTTATCAAACAATAATTCGATCATATTAGAAAAATTGAAATAATGAGTGATAAAACAAGACTTATTGTCTGGGTGATAAATGATAAAATGTGATAAGAGAAATGGAGTAAGGTTTTTGAATCATAAGGTGAAGTTAAAGTCTTTCAAAAGTTGACTTTCAAGAACCAATCAGACACAGGGAATGTCACTCCAAATCAAATCATGCCTACAGTTTTGGACTTAGAGAGGATAGATACAGTATTCTAATTATGCACAAGGTATGTTTTCTACACATCTATACTGTGAGGTAGGGCTATTGCTTTTAAGATTAAGGTTCAAAGTCTAGGTTTAAATTTAGGATCAGAAGTTAGGATTATGGTTACAGTTGGGAATAGGTTGGAGAATAGTGTCAGAAATATCAATGGATCTCAAAGTACCATGACTTGCGACCACTTGGATGAATGGGTATGTCACGCATGGTATGATTTCTCTATAGATAATCTATGTATTGACTGAGAGACATTCTGAAAACACATAAGCTACGACTATACAGTGTAATATCAAGTTTGCAATAATTTTTAGTGTCAGGATTTTCATCATGAGCTGACATTAGTTAGAGAACCATTGGAAAACCTGGGAGTACTGGACAGCTGTTTCGTCCTAGATTGGGACTCTTCATCAGTACGCACCCACCGGGATTCGAACCCAGGACCTTCTGGTTACAAGGCGAGCTCGTATGCCATTAAGCCACTGGGACCCGATCAAATGGCCCATGAATTCTAACTTCTGCCAATTCACGACATAGCGCGACCCCTAGCCAATGTCTTCGGCGAGTATTTGTCCTCACGCCCGACCTAGAACGATTATGGGACTTTTTTAAATCTGAATTCTGATTGATCGTCCAAGGTTACTGCAGTTTTGGCTATGATAGTTTAACTTTGCCGATCATTCCATTAACTAGATACACATCTTCCTTCCGCTGATGAACTGGAGGATGTTCAGTTTTTGAAGACATTTGAGGTTTGAAGGCAGTGATTAATACCAAGAAAGCACTTTTATTTTGTCTGCAAAGTGTGTTAGACTACATTTGAGCTGACGAAACATGATTTGATTCATAAGAGAAAAACTCTTATTGTAATTTCAGCACATTTATTATTAGTGAACTACTAGGTCGAAATCTAAGGAATCACAGATTCCATATTGTATAAATTACCGAAACATTGCATTCACTAATCAGCATCACTAATGATCAATTATTTCCAAATCTGACTTCATAAAATAAGCCAGTCACGAACTCTTTTATACAAACATAAGGAAAGCAACTTCACTGAAAACATTTGTGACAGCTTTCAGAACTCATGAGCTCCAGCTCCGATTGCATTGGTAGCAGCATTAGAATTCGCAATTTGTATGAAATAATTATCCAAGATTCCTCAGTTTTCACTGGTTCACAATAAAGCCTACCACAAAATCAATGTTCAGGTAGAAAACTAGGTAAAAAACTGAATATATGACTTCTGTTATATCGATTGTAACGAAAATATCAGTTTGTCAGTTTGTTAACTGAAAAAAAAATAGTGAAATGAAGCAAATAAAGTATGTAGGCAAAGTGGCATATTGAGATAGGATAAATAAATGCCACCTAACATATTTCTATGTAAATCAAATTCCTAAATGGTAATGATAACAAAGTGGGCTGAAAAAAATCTTCGTATCTCAGATCTACGTATATTAGGTTTTAGTGGATACAGGTAATAATTTGTCGTACTTTGTGAAATAACAAGAATTGTGCGAAGAACTGCTGCTGCTGCTTACTAAATAAAGAAAACTGAACTTATTGTGGGGAGTTCAGTTACTGGAATGCTTATCACTTGCATCCTTTATGTCAGAGAGACAGTTAATAAAGACGAAATCTTCAGCAAAACAGCAACCAGACAGACACATTCCCTTAGTAAAGAAATATGAAAAAATATACACCATTTAAATGAACTTACTAAAATTGAAAGTAAATTGAGTGCCTTCTATTAATCTTGTTCGACAAATTCATTTTTTTTCACTGTTTTTAATTAACATAAATGTACAGTTATCATTATAATTTGGATTCGGATTGCTCATATAGCCAAGTTTCATCAACTTGCACAGTAGTACAATCACCACTGCTGGATCTTGCTTTTATCTAAAGTAGATGACACCAGCTGTTGAGGTGTATTATTAGGAATTCAGAAAATACATCTTAAAGTAGTTATTCGAATTTAAGTCATGGCTTGTGGATTAAAATTGTACAATTTCGATTAACAGGATTAATTGGGAGGCAAGTTAGTTTATGAAGTGGAATGAAATTATTCCCTGTCTCATTCATTATCCTAATTAAAGCGATCATTGAAAAGTACTACTACAATGGATGCTTTTGTTAACCAATGAATATTCAGCTAAAATCTAAGTTATAGGTTGATTTGTGTCCTGTAATAAGCATAAGGGATTTTGTCTGACTTGGAGCATCCACTTCACCCTCAGCTTTCACCTTGCATCTCCTCTAGTAAAACAAGAAGTAACTTCAGAAAACTGTATACTCGCACATCTAAGTATAAAAATTCTATGATACCATACTTGGCACGTATTTTATGTGATGAAAATAGCGTCAGGCAAGAATTGACTAACCTTTTTTCATCTAGTAAATAAACAATCTCCTCCATCCATCTTTATATACCTTCAAGTTTTACTTTTATTATTTCTATTATATTTATGGTCCTGTTGATTCTTTGTTTTCACTTTCATAACTGCAAACACCAACTTATCTCTATGACTGCTGTAATCTTTGTTTTTTCCCTCACCATATCATGTAAACAGAACATCATATTCAATATTTTTAATCATGCAAGGATTTGTATACCGCATCGACAATACTGTGTGAAACAAGCCCACGTCAATTTCCACTTGTATTATTATCATTACCTTAGCTGCTATCATTACTATTATTTCCATTTAAATGCTGCATGTTTTCTATTTTTCTTTATATTAACCCTATTGTAAATGTAGAAAAATTTTCTGTGTGATTAATTTTATTTATAATTTGAGGAAATTAGATGCAATATTGTGATTAATGCTGAAAATTCCATTCTGTATCACAAGTACTGTTTTTGGAATAAAGTAAATCATTATTATTATTACTTTATTATTATTATGATTATAAGACATGACACTGGTTGTGATAAACTGTGAAATACTGGAGTCTGGGAAACATCAAAATTTGGTTCGTCGACTGAATAAAGACATTGTTGGAGGTTCTAGCTGTGGTTTTGAATGTGATGGTGGAGTCACACGATGCAAAATAGCTAATTAATACTTCTGGTGTTTGGTCATCCTGCAGCTTACAGCTTTCTTTGCCAATATCATAGTTGTTGCCGCTATAGCTTACTATAAAAGATGTATCAAATTATCTTATTTTACATTCTCAGCGTTTGTATTTAAATAAAAAGAAAGGCGTTTGCAGGTAGATGCACGTATCATAAGCCCTCATTAGCCATGAAATGGTATGAGGGAAACAAAAGAAGTTACTTCAGTAATTCTACTAAGATGAAAGAAACCGTTTTAATGCATAGGGTAAGCCAGTTGTAGTCATGTGATAACATTCGCAATGAAAAACCTTTTTAAAAAGTAGGAAGTTCTTTTATGTGTGTGCACTTTAAAAATTAGTAACAAAATCTTTAAAAGATCTTAGTCCAGGCAATAACGCCAGCTGTTTAGGTATTGTCTAATGATAAAAACTGAAATTATCAGAGCCGAAACATTGGTATAATGCCTATGGACATAGTGGTTTCAAGTTACTTCGTGCACTGATGCAGTAAATAAGTCAGCTTCTACTTAAATCCATGCAAAGCTCAAAATTATCCTACTGGATAACAAAAAAGGTGGTTGTTTCCGTAGGAATTGTATGTATGTGATATCGAACCTTCTGTGACTTAAAGTTAAACATTAGGTGGAACTTATGGAAAAATTGTGTTTTCAGACAGAAGACGTTTTCAGTCTCTCCTTGTGCTGGTGACTGGATGTCTTTACTCTTTACTGCATTTTACTGAGTATTTTCTGGCTTTAACGTCTGCCCCCTTTGCTATAGTGCAGTTTCGCTTGTCTCTTTTTTCTGTCCTTTGAGTTGAAATTACCATATTGTTACTCAATTTATTAATTACTCATCCTATTATCCGTTTCTTGTATTTAATACGTCGGTGGCACAGCGCTTAGGACGCTCGCCGACCATGCACATAATCCGGGTTTCTATCCCCTGGCGATGCACACCTGATATCAGTAGTCGGCCTGCTAAATTTGGGCTACCGATATCATATGCTGGAAATTGCATAATTGTACCAAAATACTGTGTGGGATCAAGCTATAATTCAAAAAAGATAAATAACTCCTTCACCATTGTATTCAAGTACTTACTTTTGTTTAAACGTGAAATCTCAAGGTATAAACTATTTAAGTGCAGTTTTTGAGGACTTTGTATTAAGTTTTTAGTCTCTTGTCAACAGTGTGTCACATTTTTAAGTGTGTTAGAATGGTTCTACACATAAACCTAGTAATTTACTTCGAGCTGAACGTGATTGATGAGAAACCAGTGAAATAATTAAAAGTACTATCTCAATCCGCATAAAGTCTTGTCCTTGCTTTATTTTAAATTCATAAAAAGAAAAA